CCGACTGTTCATTGCATTCACAATTTTTGTCTTCAAAATTTTACATAAAACTATTCCGAATTACTTCAAGAAATTAAGCTTAAAGTACCATTTGTTAAGCTAAGGAAAAATAATACTATTTTTGCAGTTAGCAACATAACTTCCCCACTTATTAAGATCTTGATCACTTTAAATAAGTTCTCCTTAGTGAACGATATTGACTTTTTTCACGATGCCCTAAATGTAAGAATAAAACAAATTAGACCTTAGGCCCTAATGTATGTTCAGAGCCCCAGTGCCATGCAATTGGAATTTTTATTCTGTATGGTGTCTGGTTAACCAAATAAATAAATAACAAAGAAAAATAAATAAAACTATATCGTTGCCCAAGATCGAATTCATCCCAAAAATATTCCCGTGCTATGCTTTCTGATTAACTGGCACCCACAAAATGGTTTCTCATCAATGACGCTCGTTACTCTTTGATTCGTTTTCATCGTTCTGCACTACCTACCAATTACATGAGAGTCGCAAATAAACGTGCCACATGAATTCAAAAAATGCAAAATTGCTTTTCCCAAGCCTGTAGTGAAGCCATTCTTAGTTGGCGTTTTTGAATACGAGAAACTTATTAAGATAAGAGCTATCTGCTGCTCTGGAGCCTGACTTCTAAAACCATTACGAAAACAATACCCCATGGTATACAAATGATGCGAACAAGACGATCGTCAATTCCACCACTAAGTATGTGCAATTTACGATGATTTTTTCAATTTCACCAAAGATGATTAATTGAAAAATTTGTCCTTCTAGTTATGTAAATCTTGTAGATTTTCTATAATGCACACCCCTAAATAATCCTAAAAAATTAAACTATACCTATTTCTATCAAAAATGCAAAAAAATTACATCCACAATTGGAGCTGCCTTTACAAGTTCAACAATTCGTTCGTGATATTGATACAATAGCGTGACATTCGGATCAATTACAAGTTTACAACTGTAAATGACTATCGTTTATTGTAAACAGAACCAATTCCGCTGTCAAAATAAGGCAGCTGAATAACACTTTCTTTAAAAAACGCTTTCAATCCGGATTACTGTCAGTTTAAATTCAAATTACAGTTACTTATCTAGCAACCGTACGGTAACAAGCCCAATTTGTTATAGTAGCACTTAGGTACTGTGCACAGATGTACATAACGATAGTCTTATTAAAAGCATTATGCGGGTTAGTGCTATGACATACTATGCTGGAAACCGCATGCGGTGAATCGCATGCCGGAAAATGAAAAACCGCATCATGTATAATTAAATGCATAAAGACATACTATACGTCTTTCGCTATAGAAACCGTTGCACGTCATTGATTTGTGTATCAATTTTAGACATATGCTGCAACACTGCAACATGTACATAAAAAAACAAGTGTGCGAAATCTATAGAAAACTTGTCTGAAATTGATTCATAAATCAATGACGTGCACCGGTTTTTATAGCGAAAGACGTATAGGTGCGTTTTGCGGTCGCCGCATATACATGCGGTTTGCTGCCGCAACTTGTCGGCGGGAATGCGGTTGCGGTAAGTGGGAGAACACAAAGAAACAGATATTCGATGACATACTAGCCGCAACGTTTCTGCCGGCAAGTAGTAGTGTCTTCAAAAATGTCTGAAAACTACCATAACTTCTGAAAGTAAAAAGTATTAAAATTATCGGGATGTAGTCGATGATATGGGTGCACGGAATATCTCCTCCTTCTTGGGTTGCCGAGTAACCCTTCTGCTTCGGCTGCACATACAGCTACCACAGTCCACATTAAGAAAATGTTTGTATGCGTCCATTCTCCCCGAAAATTATTCAATAACTGCAGTAGCAAGGGACTATTTTTTGCGCCGGCATGCGGTTCCCGCATACCTATAGTATGCCATAAAATGAAAAATGCGGGAACCGCTCAAATTTGCGGCTGCGATTTACCGCATGCGGTTTCCAGCATAGTATGTCATAGCACTTACGTAAGTGGGTATACATATAGTTAAACATCCAAGCACAATAAAAATATCCACCGACAAAAGTTTAAAGAGTAGGTACACACCAAAAATGGACAATTAGCAAAGAAATTTTTTAAAGGGATGGCTGACCCTTTTCCATTTTCCGAGCAATTACATCTGGCTCATTTGGTCTCTTTCGCTAAACAAAGGCGAAGGTTATTAAACCAATAATCTTTTGCCGATACCGTAAAATTTTTCCAATTGTTAATATTAACGCACAGTCACTACGAATTTATTTATCATAATAGAAATCTTCAGCAAAACAGTACGTTTAAATAGAAATCGTAGACATCTGGCGCCATGCCACTACAGCTTTCGATGCGGTCTGCCAAGATTCGCATAAAGGAGCGTTGTAGTCATTTCCCCAATTGACAAAAAAGATTGTCTTGAGAATGAGTTATTTAATGAAATGTATATAGTATTTACATTTTCGTCAATAAGAAGATGCAGCCCTCCTTGTATGTTATTATTTGATCTGGAAGTGGACGTAAATAACCTTTATGTCTTACTAATCTATCATAGCACATTTTATATCTGTGATACGCGGGCATAAAGTACCACTTTATGCCCTAGGGCATTAAGTATCACCATAGTAACTCATTTATACTTAATGACAAAACAAACAAATATTTGCAGGTCATTGAAAATTAGAAACGTCAATTATTAATTGTCAATACCTACTAAATCACAAGATTGTCCTTATTTCGTATAGTTTCTGGAACTTCTTGCTCATTCACGATGAATTGAATTATTTAAAATTACGTATGACGTTTGGATGGTTTCAATCACATTAACAAATTCGAACCACGCATACTCGATCAAACATAATGAATTATTTTGTAAACGAATTTTGACGAAGAAAACCATTTGTAAAACATAAAATGTTGTATGTACCACGGGCATAACCTGATGTTTAAACTCTCGGGCGACTAAAAAGCTCTCGGGCCATAGGCCCTCGAGCTTTTTAACTTGTCGCCCTCGAGAATATAAACATCACTATTATGCCCTTAATACATAAATAACTATTATTTTCGTTGTTTTAGGTAAGTAAAGCGTAAAGCTATTTAGCACAGTGTTGTAGGTAGTTAGTCTGTCCTATTAGAAATTACCGCCAACACGTTGCTATTGCTAATTTACGTCTGATGCTATTGGCATAATTTTTAATTTAATCCTTTTTCTTATTCATTTTCTCAACTTTACAGGTGGTGCTACTTTGTTAAATTCTTGTACTACTGTACATCAGTCGCATACTTTTCACTAGGTAGAGTTGATGGATTTTATTGAACAGATATGGGTCAAAATCTAATTCAAATTTTTTAATCTAGATTTATTTGATATAATGACCTTAAAGCTATAAATTGGAACATAATGATGGATATGTCGGCTGTAGAGGAAAAACTTCAGTTTTTAAATACCTACTAATATTTCTGTGTTTCTAGATAAACACACGCCTCTTAAAATATCTACGTTCACGAAACCGTTTCCACCATGGTTAACTGGCACCATTAAAATAATGATATCATTAAGAGAAAAGCTTTAAACAGATTCAGACGTAGTAATAAATCCAGCTCATTGGAATTACTATAAATCATTACGAAATCTGGCCACTAGTGCTATTAAAGCAGCAAAAAAAGCATACTTACTTAATTCATTTTCAAAAGTAAAAGCTCAAAAATTAACTATTCTTGTCCTTATTGATTATTTAAAAGCTTTTTGCACCCTTAACCATAACACTCTTATTGCGACTTTACAGTTTATTGGACTCGAAAAGTCCGCTGTTCGATTGGTATTTAACTACCTAAACGGACGCCAACAAAAAGTGGTATTAAATGACAAAGAATATATAGCATTACATTTGACAAAAGGTATTCCTCAGGGTTCAATTTTAGGTCCACTTCTGTACACGATTCACACCTTCAAGATTTTATCAACACTAAGGCATTATAAATATCATCTTTGTGCCGACGACACCCAAATATACTTCTCGTTTAATATAAAAACTCTCAATGTGTAAAAAGCCCTAAAATATCTAAATTTGTCAAAAGTTTTTTTTAGAAGGGCGATGAAAATGAAAATATTAACAAGTATAGATTGTGATTCTTTAGTTTAGGGTACCTGCCGTCGTATAATATAGACTGCCTATCGACCATGTTTTTTTAACCTTCAAATGAGATATTTGGTTACGAGCATAGTACAGGTAAGTATATGTTTATGTTGTATACATACGAGTACAATGTGATTCATTTAGAAGTAGGCATAGAGATTTCCTATGTCTACTTTTAAATGACAAAAACTCTTCTGAAAGACGCCTAATTTTACAGTGCACACAAATTCCTATATCAACTAATACTACTAATATCACTGTATAATTGTCATTGCAATTTTATACCTAGATTTTATTGTGGTCACAGGGGGAAGAACAGATAACTATTTTCAGTTTATCTGACTGTTCAATCCAATTGAATACGATGTAGGAGCCTTATTAAAAGCTATTATTATTAGTATGATTAATTATTATTCTAAGAACCTATACAGAATTCGCAAAATTGAAAAATCTTAAGAATTTAACGCCGCAAAGAAAATCCGAAGAATTTAAAGAATCCTAATAATAGGAGAGAATATTTTCATACTTCCGAATCCTCCGAAGGGTCCGAAAAATCTAGCCGTGACGAATGTTGCGTTTGCTCGTAGAACATTTTTGCAAATGGGCCTTTACTTCAGGTCATGTAAGGTATTAGTGTTGGTTTTATTTAGATTGAATGTGTTTTATTTTACGGCTCCTTTATGTGTAAAGTAATACAGGTTTTATGTAAAATAGTTCTTGGTTCAATTAAATCACTTTGTTTTTCATTTAAAAAGGACTGTTCAAGCGCTCAATTTCTCCTTTAAAATATGTCATTTTCTGACACCCGAAGCTCTATCGAGGTTAACCTTGCAGTCATGCAAAATCGAAACAAAAGAAAAAGACTTACTTGCTCGTCGTAGAGTTAACGCTAGTATTCGATCTGGAACGTCGATTTATTATAGAATCCCCACAATTTACGACTCCTCCTTTGTTCGTTATGCTGAAAGTTCGTAGTCTATATAAATCGTCACTCAGTCGGGGATTGTAAGCTTTTTCGGGTAGGGAACACACTCTTGGGCGTATATGGTCGGGCACTGAAACATTAAAGCTTCATTGTAAATGTTGCTTTGTTGCGATTACTGTGCTCATTTATTCATTGGCTCAATACACAATTATTAAGTAATAGCACACTATTTCTGCCGTCAAAAGTGGCCCAACAAAAACCTGGAATGTTTCACAGACTAACCGATCAGCAGCAAATTGCAACGGCAATAGTAGAACAAAACTATTCAGATTGCTGCTGTCGGTTTTGACATGTCAATTTATTCTACATTGAAACAAGAACGTCTATTTAACGGTGCAATTATTGATGTATAGGTACACGTATAACAAATTAGCAAATTGCGATTACTTACAATTTTATTGTTTGAAAAAATAGTCTAATCGAGCATATCAATATCAAAAAGGTGAGATTTGATAGGTATATAAGTAACTTAATTCGCTGATTCAATTGTAAAATTGAAGAAAGAAAATAACAAACATAGGAAATGTATAAAATTAACGGCAAAGAACGGTTTCGGCAAAAAATATTTACAGGGTGGAATTCATAATGAATCCCATTTAAAAATGTATATAACAGTGGAAGCACTGGAACTTCTGTGAACGTTGAACTTATAAAAAGGAAAACAAAAACACCAATAAACCACAATTATTGTTGTTTATTGAACACCTGAACAATAAAATAAATATACAGCCCTATTAATACTACTACAAGTGAAAGTGAAAGTTTACGAGCTCTGATTGACCTAAAGGGCCTCCTTCAACATTTTTCATAAGGAAGGGTTTGTTCTTACGAATCTCTAAACTTTCATAACAATCTAAGCTATTTTTGCTATTTACTAGGTAAATATATCATCAACTATACCTATTAATTGTGATGTACCAAGGTGGCCAAGTCGGAAGTTCCCGCGCAAAGAAAAGGGGGGAAAAACCATCTTATATATATGGGAAAAACACGAACTCGGAACACCAGCGTAATACCTAACACAAACCTCGTACTCAACAATGACCACATTCCCTACGTTCTGAAAAACCAGGTCACACTCACTTGTATCTAAGCTTATTATGGGAAAGGTGGAAGTGGAACGCACATAATCTATCAAAAGTGCAAAACGAATAAAAATACCGAAAGAGTTCCTACAAATTTTGACAGAAAATATTTAAAACCAAAGAGATGCCGTGTCCCCCTAAATCTCAACGGGGAAAAGAACCGAGCCAAAGAAACTCCGAATCATTTGTTCACAGAGGGTGATGTAATAAAGTAAACTTTGTATTGTATATAACAGAATCTCCACTTTCTGCATTCTGCTTCTGGACAATAACACGATCTTCAGGAAAGAAATTTTTCACTCTAATTTACAGCATGCATTCGGACTATTAATCCGATTTATATTCAAAAGAAAGTGAAATCGATAAACGGACCGTACACGAACAATATTATTAACCATATTTCGAATAATTCACAATATTTTTGAGATCCCCCTCAGTAACGATGGTTTGACGAAGGGTTTAGTAATCTAGAAATTCTGAAATCCACCAGCCAATGATATATTTTCGCTAATACCTATTGCATGTCAAGGCGTCGTGTATATAAGGCGTTGTAACGACGTTTCTGGCAACAAACTGCATCCTCGGGATTAAACGCACTTTAGCCCTTTTGTAACTAATAACGATAAAAAAACTGACGTCGAGTCGCCTTTGGAGGTTCAGGCATTGAATTTATAACTATAAATTCAATGGTTCAGGTTAAATATGATTTCCCATGTAAACAAATATTCCAAAGGTGACTCGACAGCAACTCTTTTTTGATCGCATAGTATATACCTACTCGTATAATAGTTATTTGTACAACTAGAGAAGAAACTCGAGTTCAAAGTTTGACACATGAGCTTAGCGAGTGTGTCAATTGAACGAGAGTTGAAAAACACTTTCTTCTCACGCTTTACACATATTTTTTTCTGAAAATACAATCAAAATTAAAAAGGTATCGTATGCAATAATGAAGTTGACACACAGCAATCTGATACGGATATGTTTCAATTTTAAATGTCATGATTAAGATTAACGCAGCAATTGTTCTTTACTTTCCTCACTAGAGAGGAAAATCACATTTTCTTCGCCCGTTTTGGAGACGAAAGTAGTTGTTTCTAAAGTACTTTCAGAAAAATACTATTTCGCTTTCCCGTAGATCTCGGCCTCATCTCCTGTACATATTTTTATTTCGGGTTGCACTATTCCCATTGCTGGAAAGGTTTATGGGTCAATTATTATTACTACTATTTCAGTAGTAATCGAATTAAGGTTTCATTATCCGAAAGTGACAATCATTAACTGATCTAAGTACCTACCTATGTCATACTTTTTTCTCCACATTGAAAGAATTTTTTGTACAACTAGTTCCTGATTTTCTTATTGTCGATTTTCATCTTCATTGAATAATTCATTGTTCTTAGTTTTTTTTAATTAAAAATTTAAATCACTGCAAAATTGTGTAGTTGGTTTCTGAAAGGTCAATAGGTATAGTCAATTTACATCTCCTATGCTTAACGAAATCCGCTATCCAAATATCGTAGTATTAAAGGTTTAAAAATAGTACTAGCTACTAGCATGTAGCATCACCTTATAGTAAAATAAATAAATGGAATTTCAGCGAAAACTTGAAAATAGGACATTTAATTCATAATCTTACCTTAACAGTGATTTTATTGCTTCTCTCTATAGCGGTGCTAATTAAGTGGAAATTACTTTGAACAGAAACGTTGTTTTTCCGGAAAGCATTAAATATATGTATTAATTTACAGCATACCACCGCATTAGCTATTTTCACACCATAGCTAATAAAGTTTGCCACTTTGAATTTTACGTTTAAAATTTTTCTGTTTTTGCTTGATACATTGGCAATCGTTGTGTCTTCCATTAACAACGTACAATCAACAATTATGAATTAATAGGTACAAATATAATGCAAAGGACCCGAAACCTATTTGTTTTAAACGAAACGCAAGGACGTGACCAGAACATTTCTATTGCAAAAAGTCCTTCAAAATGGGTCGGCTCTTTAGTGTTTAAGTCGAGAGTACCTTTTGCTTGGCTAGATAATCAGAAAGGTGTAACAACTGATATGTATTTCATATCATACCTGGCTGTAGGTATAGCTTGAAATTCTTTCATGGTAAAGTAGTAGGTATATTATAGATTTACCATTTACCGACTATTTATTCATTTTCCTATACCTATTTCTGTGGTGCCCTATACGTACCTACTACACACCTTCCTACGCTACCTAACTTAATTTGGAACTCGCGTCTAATAGAAAGTAATTAGTAAAGTAAATGAGATTAAAGACGCGTTTGTAACGCCACGTTACACACAGAATTAGATTTTAACGTCACTAAAAATGTTTTGGGTTTATCGCAGTATTCATATACTACAATTATATAAGTAGGTAATAAAAAAACCATATTATAGGTTATATGATAATTGCAGCAATAAAGGGAAATTTGTCGCGTGCGCTGAAGCTTTTGTTCTGACTGAAATTATTCAGATTTTTAACATAACAGAAATTAACATAGTCTGCATGCAAGAATGTCATTAAATTCCAATGAAACTGTGGCTTTCGTTATGTTACCTTTTCCTTAATTACCGTTATCAAGTATGGACTCTGTCCATCACTGTCATACATATGAAATAAAAGAATTAAATTACTACCATAAGAACAATTTTGCGAGGCAAATTCGATAATTACATTATAACCATTATCCAAAGTCTGTAGGTACTACCCGTATCGCATTCAATACACCTTTTTCAGATAGAAATAATATTGTAGTTATCCTATCCTAAGCCAAGCGGCAACTATATTGTTTTGATATAGGTATATTGTACAATGCTGTCGTAGCACAGAATTATATTGACGTAAGTAGGTATTATTTATGCACCTATTTAGGTGTCCAATTTTGCTTATGATACTGAAATACCTACTTTTGCGATACCGAAGAAATGTTCTCCACGCAACAAACCAGAAAACAAAATTAGGGGCGAGAATCGAGTTTTCGATTAGGCATCAGCAAGTTAAATCAGGGTACAACCATTGAATAAGTAATTACTTATTCAATGGTACAACAAAGCTCATGTACAGAAATTGCATTTGGGGTATATTCGTGGGTCTGGTTTTTTTGTGTCCATTCGTTCATCCATCCGAGTATCTGGACAAGCAATGACCATTATTGTACACCTAAATTGCAATATTGATCATTGATACTGATACGTCTGATAAAAATTAATTATATTTCGCACGTGCTGACGAACCCGTATGTGCAGTTCTGTTAACACAACCTTGTTCAGAGTTTCCACTTCCCTGTAGAAATACTCTTGTTATTAGGTTAACAAACACGTTTTTAACGCATTTTCCAACGAATTTGGGTGCGCTATTGCAGCCACTTTCTGTGTCCGTCCATCTGTCCGTCTGTCCGAGACCTTAACTACTCCTACAGTTTTCAAGATATTTAGTTCGATCTTTTTGCATTCGGTAGCGTATCGCTCTGGCACCTGAGTCAAGGAAATCTTGATGATTGAACTGCGCATGCGCAGGCTGCGCAATGTTAACTTTTTTATTTATGGAGATATTTCTTTGAAATGTTAACCAAAGATGTTTATAGCAAAAGCAAACGTATTGCATATTGTAAATATCAGATTAATCAGCGCATGCCCAGGACGCGCAATATCAACTGCGCAGTAAGTGTCAACTTCCTTATTTATGAAGATATTTCTTTATTTTTTATTAAACTCGCGTAATTAAAATTGCATCAAGAATATATTATCAGTATTTCACTCTTTGATTGCATCTACGAGTATACTATTATAAATGGCACCTACCTCTATGATAATGTAGGTGATGCTTGTAAATTACAAATATGTCGAACACGGCCCTTTCGCTAACCAATTCCGATTTTTTACTTACAAGACCGTCCAGCATATTTACATCTTTTTAGAAAAAAAAAGTATATTTTCTCTAAATGTTCCGACGAACCCTATTTATACGTGGGAAACTATTAGATCCCTCTTAAGAAAAATTCTAAGGGCATCTTGCTTTTGCTTTTTGTTAACATTTATGTTATCTATACCTTCATACATGATACATACTAATACGTTTCATCCGAGTACCTAAATATGTAAAACTGTTTATTGCATATGTTTCCTCAAATATCCCTAACAAAATAAGTTACTTTGCACATTTTTAAATTCTAGGCTAATATCGACTCACCAGGCAATTCCAGGAAATTAGAAGTTCTCCGTTGGCGACCTCTTGGCGTATTTTGAAAATTAAGCGGTCCAATATCTTCATTAGACACATTAGAAGCCAATGAATCTCTAGAGCCTCGTCGAGAAGCTAAATAAGCCAATCCACCTTTTATGGAGCCGTTTCTTCTAGGTGAAGTTGGCCGGCTTAAAGAAGTTACAGTCGTATTTGGGGCATCGTCCGTTAAATCTGTTAAATCCGATGTCGATTTCCGACATCTACTTACACATTTTTCATTTTTCTCAGATTCATTTATAGATTTACTAGACCAATAGCGTTCATCGTATCCCGGATTTGTGCGTATATTACAGATGGGTTTCTTTGTCGATTTTTCTTTAATAGAAGAATGCCTGACCCTCCTCTTTTTGTCGAAATAGTAATTGGGATTTGAATCGAAATTACTTCCGGAATGTGAGCTTGAATCAATTGAATTACAAATTTTATACTCGACACTTTCATAATCGCCCGTGGGATGTTTTGTTGTTGAGACGTACTCTAAGCTCGACTTTGAACTACTCGATCCGCCTCCGTTCTTTGATGATTGAAATTGTTGTCGATTGTGAGAACGGTTTAATTTTGACTTTGGGGGCGCTTGTATATTAAAATTATAATTATTCCCGGAGGGGCTATGAATTTCTGTGTAAGATTTAGACGCGGTTTCTTGATCGGTTTCGTAAATAATAGCTCGGGGCGATTTTGGCGATTTAGGTAAATTAGGAGAGGAACGTGGAGTTGCCGACCGTGCTACGCTTTCAGAAAAGTCAAACACTTTGTCGTTCTTCAATATCGTAGGACTATCACACTTTTGATTGACTTGGCAAAATGTAAATATCTTTTCGGTTTGTGAAGAGGGACTGTTTTGGTAGTTTGACGTTTTAGGAGAGTGCAGTGGAGTCTTTTGTCCATGAATTGTATTTAGTGAAGGTGTTTGAGGCTTTGGTAAATCTTGGCTATAATGATAGCTAACGATCGGGCTTTTAACGGAGAAGACGGGACTAGACCTTTCAGACGAGAAGGATGACTTTTGGTGGGACGAACTTGATTTGCACGAAGATTTTGTTGAAGCGGTTCTTAAAATTTTTCCGGGCGTGTTAACTTCCATTTTGTCATGACGCGGAAATTATACGAATCGGACACTGAAATTATCGTACAGTTTTAGTTTGTAAAAAATTGGCCGCCAGTCATTATTAAATAAAATGGTTGAAACTTACCGCGACTCTAGAATAATACGCTCTACACTGACACCAACACACGTATACTGAATGCAGTTTCTTCCGTCTCCTCATAAACTTGTAGTGAGTTATCAAACTCACGCTTCTTGCTGAAATCCACTGTTTCCGACAAAGATAGGGAATATGAAACGCGTCCGTGCTCTACACAAACTTGTGTATGACCGGGAAACCCGGGAAATTTATTTCCACCAAGTGAAAATTGAACTTTAGCGATGGTCGTTCACAAATCTTTATTTCATGATACTTAACTCCATCTTCAATGGTATATCAATAGCAAAATTGGAAATAATTACACGATGTTATGATGGCAGTATCAAGAGCCAAACTTTTGTTAGAAAGGCATCGATTATTACCGAATGTTTGGGAGAGTGTATTATCACACGTTGTCTTTCGAGCGGGGGTGCAACAAGAGTTTGCGCTTTACGCTTTTTTGGGCAACAGGTAGCAAATGGTATGCACCGAATGGATCGACGAAAAGTTTTTACATACTTACGGAGCAGCATTTATTTTTCTAAAATACCTAAGTGAAAAAAGCTGATTTTTTATTTGAATTGCCATATAGCTAAAAACTATATACCTACTGCTTTAACGTTTAGTGTAATAAACTAGTAATATATAATGTTTCGTGTTCCGCATGCTATTATTATTCATAATCGATTTTAAATATTAATAAACCAATCCATTTTATATTTGAATTAATTTAAGAGCAATTATTATTACTTGATACCCAATACACTATACCAGGTTTCTATACGACATCGACAATATTCGAGTCTCGAGAGAGGAGAACATTAATTTGTGCGTTTAGGAAAACGTCCTGCACCTCTTCAAGCTAAATTTTCAATAAAATAGATTTACCATTGCTATGTATAATACGTAATTATTTTTAGGATTACGCACAGCTCTCAGGGATCATATAGTAAAAATTATATTGTAATCAGTACGAGAAGCTATTATTAAATCAAACAAACCTTGACACACGCTGTACAATATGAATATGTCTAATCAAAATTATTCTTACTATAATAATGATATTGTATTAACGCTGAACTACTTTCTCAGTAACTTAACTACTATCACAGATTTAATTAAATCTGTGCTACTATGGTGGGATCATTTTCGACCCACATATTTTATTGTAACACATATTAAAAAAAGATGAATACTAGGCATTAATAGCTTGCCTGTAATACGATAACACTTATTTGTTTCGTTATTTGACGAAAAAAAGTTAATAATTTCAGTTTAACGCTTCAAGTTAATCATAATAAATTGATATGCTTCAAAAATCATAAATGAGCAGATGTTCATTATTGAGGATTCTTTTTTTATTTGTTCTAGTTCTATAAGGGTCTAAACTAATCTACAACACAAATCAAAAGATTAAAATTGTAACATTACAAAAAATAACGGATAAATTTAGAAAAAATCACCTACTATCGGGGGTCACTTTTGACCCCAGCGGGCAATTACCACGAATATAAGCAAACAAAATAAGACAACACCTAACTCAAACTGATCAACGGCAACTTGTAGGAGAATAGCAGGAGGGACGTACACGACACCGGCGCGAGTACGAAATTGTGCAGTATTTCTTCTTCGTCTGGGTATTGACCCCGCGATAGTAGTTAAGGGTTAAATATGATCTTAGATATTTAAATATATCCAAGAGCAAATAGATAATAAACATTAAAATATAGTTTATTAACGAAATGGGTTTATTACTTGTGTATAATACAGTTTAGTATATAACGCATTCTTAAATGAAAACCTTGCGGTTGAAAGATTGTTAGTTTAACAACCCATCTAATAATTTTTAACATATGATGTAATTGTAATGATGCTGAATCTGCAAGATAAGCATAAGCTTATTTTGAGAACAACCGTTGCAAAGGTTGCATTAAATTATTAAAAGCTCTGTATTGTATATTGTATGCTGTTTTTGTTCAGTCGACAGTCAGTTCAGTGCGTATGTGTATGTGGCTCGCAATTTTGGTAAAGGTTATAGATGAATTCTATACCACTTATAATCATGAGTGATGTTCCAGAGATTTTGAGGGTTGGGCCAATACAAAAAAAAACTGTATTATATTGATTATTATACCTTATTGTTGCAAATATATCATGATTTTTGAACTTATAATTTTATATATTCGAAACCAATATGTGTGTATCCTGATTTTTGGTAAAAAAGGAAGGTTATACACTGCCTTTTTTTGAGCCCCGAAAAAAAAATTGTCTCAGATCGACCCGGAAAAAAAATTTTCTTATAGAATGTGGCCTGTAGAATCCATAATTTCAAACAGTTCCAAGATTGGGCTACTAGTTCAAAAGTTACAGCCCTTTGAATTTTCTTTCGAAATTGGTTTCTAGTCTATAACTTTTGATTGAGAAGTCTGATCGAAAAAGTACGAATTGTTTTGGATTCTACGCACCAAAATTAATAAGAAAAAGTGTTTTCCCGAGAAATTTTGGTGTAGTCGATTTTTGGTAAAAAAGGAAGGTTATACACTGCCTTTTTTTGAGCCCCGAAAAAAAAATTGTCTCAGATCGACCCGGAAAAAAATTTTCTTATAGAATGTGGCCTGTAGAATCCATAATTTCAAACAGTTCCAAGATTGGGCTACTAGTTCAAAAGTTACAGCCCTTTGAATTTTCTTTCGAAATTGGTTTCTAGTCTGTAACTTTTGATTGAGAAGTCTGATCGAAAAAGTACGAATTGTTTTGGATTCTACGCACCAAAATTAATAAGAATTCCCGAGAAATTTTGGTGCAGTCGATTTTTGGCAGGGTGCGTATATTAGTTGCAATAATCTAAGTTACTTATTAATACAAAGCGGAGATGTTAATTCAACTACTCCCGTATTACAAAAGCAAGCATATGAGATGGTTGCTGTTACATACAGTTTTTTTGTATGAGTTAAAACAATATATACTAGTAAAACTAGCTATACACTTGCAACAATATGTATATGATAAATTTTATAATTCTTCATAGCGATCCCTATACGTATTATATTTTTTGATAGCTATTATTATATTTTCAATTACCTTTAACAAATTAACATACATTTTTCTCCGTGACGTAACGAAGATACAAGAAACAATATCACACATTAAACTTCCATCACGACGTTCACAAGTAGCGACTCATGTACCTAAGGCTCTAGAAAAATGCAATCAAGTATTTGTTCGTAATGACGCCGTACGAAAACCTTTGCAACCACCGTACGACGGGCCTTTTATAAGGTCATTGCAAGAGAATCAAAATTTTACAAATTGCAATATCCGAACGCGATTAAAGTAATATCCGTTGACAGATTAAAACCTGCATATTTAATGGCAGATTTTGTCCTTCAGGATATTTCGCCAGTAACAAAAATAGCAAGTGAATTGTACAACAAGGTTCGGCCGCACTGTTAAAACCGTGCGTTTTAACTAGCGGGGGAGCTATAGGTATGCCTACTGCATATCGTTTAAATAATTATTGATAAAAACAAGTTAGTTACCTAGAGTTGCGTTTTGTTATTATATAATTATGTCAATCAATAATTTTGATAAAATAAAAACATTCAAGAAGATATTTTAATAATTGATACATATTATTCGCAACAACGTAATATAATACGTAATAACTTATTGGTTCTTAAGATAGACTACACATGGAAGGTATGAAATCTATTATTATTAGCGAAACATTCCAGATTGGATACACTCTTGAATAAAATTACAGCCATAAGCAATAAACAATTAAAATTTATAATAAAATAAGAAATTATTTTAAGTTCGAAATAGCCACCATTATTTGCTAGACAAAAATACAGTTTTAGAACTCTTCGCGAACTTTGACGAATGATTCACGGGGTGATTTGTCTACATTCTTGCGAATTACCAACAAGTGTCAATACGATTGGGATGGAAAACGGAGTAGGATAATTTCATTATGTCAAAAGAATCTTTATAGTAACAGCGCTGAAAATAGGAAAAGTGAACCATTTTACCGTACTAAGTAGCCATGTTTTACATGAAGGAGATGTTTAGTGTTTCCAGTTAGGTATGTGCAACGGCAACGTATACGGAGCCTAACATTTAATCATTTCTTCCCAAAATCATGCCCTATCCTAGGGCCGACGAGGAGCGTGGCAAAAAAGGGAAGATGCGCCGAGCCCCACGGAATGGGGAAATAGTACGGATATAGGAGTAGAATTTGAATTCACCGATATCACTGCAGTCCACTCTCGTAGAAAGCAGCAGTTACGATTCTATTGACATCAGATTGGACCACAAACAATATTTTAAGATGAATTTTTATTTTCAAATTTTGGATGTCCTTACACGAAAGGTGTGAACTACTACAGTCTCGCCTCAGCCTTTTTATACACAGAAAACACCAACGCCAATGATTGTGACTAAAAACCGTTGTTTATTGTTGTTGTTTAAACACGGAATCTTCCGGAAAAGCCGCAATGATCGTACCTTTTCACAAAAAAGAAGAGCAAACCAATGCTGCAAACTATCGTCCAATTTGTATATTATCGGCGTTACTCAAAGTATTTGAAGCTGCTATTATTGTTGCTCGCAGTAACTGATTTTATAAAGTGCTATTAGAATGCTTTGGGAGTAAAGACCATTCTATCATGTATGTATGTAAACTTTTTTAGACATGACCCGTGCTTTCTACTACGTTTCACATTCAATTTTAATTAGTAAAATATAACTACAACTTTAATAAACGTAGCTGTAATCTCATATTGTACTTATCGAACAAATTTTATTCAATCGCAAGGTAATTCGTGAAACGTCTTTTAAAAAAATGGCAGTCAGTGGGGCGGTTGGAATGTGCTGGAACCCAATCAATCGCACCTATCAATGTATCACCACGGCTATTATTTTGTCTACAATTGTATTTAATCACACCTTACAAAGTTATACGTAATTCATCATTAAATAAAACACATATACGAACATACAGACATTAAAAAAACATTTTTGACTTTGACTCCTGAAAAAATATAGGTATATTTGTAATAGGTAGGTACTGTTTGTGAATGTATTTGCAATACCCAGTACAAAATACAATGTATCTATTTGAATTACTATTGCTTAATATTATCACAGACAACATATACCTACTAGGTTGTCTGTGATATTATATAACAAATGGGGTGATTATTTATTATCTCATCCCGATTTTAAGCAAGTGCCATTCCAAAACCCGCTACCTGGGTGATTCATAGGCCGTGTCAGTACTAGTGCATATATATAGTAAACAAGATAAACTTAACCTGCTATTTAGAAGCTCACAATGGTAGCAACACATGCCTTTTGCTAAATCGTCAAATCCACGTTACGTCACGTCCAGTGGTCAAAATGGCTAAAATAAAGTAGGAGTAGGTCTGATAAGTGACAACTCGAGTTGTTGACTAAAAGTTGGGGGGGAAAAGGCAAAAAAATATTAAGTTTATGCCCGTGGTACATACAAAAAGTTTTCTTCGCCAATGTAAATATTCGTTTACGAAACAATTCATTATGTTGGATCAAGTATACGTGGTTCGAATTTGTTAATATGATTGAAACCATCTAAACGTCAAATATAATTTTAAGTAATTCGAAAGTATTCGAAATAACGCCAATCTTTGAGTTAGTAGGTATTGACATTTAATAATTGACGTTTCTAATCTTCAATGACCTGCAAATATTTGTTTGTTTTGTCATTAAGTATAATAAAAAGTTACTATGGCGATACTTAATGCTCTAGGGCATAGTGGTACGTTAATCTTTATGCTCGCGTATCACAGACATAAAATGTGCTATGATATGATAGTAAGACGTGGAGTGATCTCAATAACCTCCCAATTTTCTATTGGCGCAAAGGAAGAAAGGTAAATATTATTATAGGAACGCTCAGCGGTATGTTGACGAGATGGTACCACCCCGTATGGCGCGATAAATCTGGAGTAAAGATTGTTGGCAGTTTCGTAAAAAAATTCAGTCTTCTTGGTGTTGGTTTCCATGTCTCACCGGCAATGGCACGAACGAAAATGACGGATTTTAACACAAGTGATGTCGTCTTCTGAACAAAAGAGAAGTGACGTTCGTTCATATTACATCTGTGCAAATGTCGAAACCAGTGCAACAGGATATTTGAGGGATGACACGAATGTATAGAAAATAGGTCTTGTATATATGCTTTACATTGTACCTACCTATACAAGTTAGTTAAAAAGAAACCCATCGATTCATTTTGTGCAGATACCTACACAAATAAAATAACTAGAAATGCTTGTGTACTATAAGTCAATAATACATACAAATATAAAAAAAACAGACAGAATATTTTTTATTAAACATATATTTTTAATGACAAGCAATTGAGTCTGTCATAGTACATTATAATACTAAATACGAACTACATAACAATATTTTATCATTTATTATCAAAACAAAACGAAATTCATCATTATTGAACGGTACACTTATTGTACTATCATGCACGCATACGCTAAAACAATCGCTCACACCTTAATTTAAGTAACGTTTCTTTCTTAATTATCTACTAAATGTCATTGATTGTAATTTTGAATTAACATAAAAATAGGTCATACAATTACTAAAAATGGTTTTGTAGTAAGCACTTAATCAGTATTAATACGAACGATATCAATTACCCTGTAGGCATACAATTCGAATAAACTTTAAAGTCAGGAATATACTGCAACTCTATATAATTGATATATGTAATAGATCTAATTAAATAAACTAATTAAACTAAGGCAACAAACTGTAGCGCATATATTATATTAACATAGGTATGTAATAGAAAAAAAGGTCAACTTATTGCACATCATAATTTTGAATTATTGCCAATACGAGGACGGTCCGAGTTTTGCACGATTTGACTATAGTCTAACGACATAAAATCACATGGTTGATACTAAGCAACTAAGCGAGGATAATAAAGGATCACATTACCTTAACTAGTGTGGAAGACTTTGTAATATTTGTTGCGACTGTCAGCACAGGCTAACTAAATATATTTTAGGATTTAGACATTTAAGCACAGACAAAAGATCTGATTTCGTCTTTTATAAAGAAAATTATTTTATAAACGTTCAAAACATTTTATATTACCTATGAAACAATGACTACGCTGTGCAAAGAATTACTGCAAGAGCCAGAATCACACTATTTGAATTACTATAAAAAGATCTGATACCTCTCAATCTTGGATCGATTCGGCATACATATTTAACAATAGATAATAAAATTATAATATAGATAGGTAATAAAATTTTCATATGTTGATGAACATAAAATATATTACATTTTTAGGTATATACTATATATAATATATATTAAATTTAAATAGAGCTATTTATAAAGGTATCTCTTTTGTTATATATAATATAGATGTTAAGGAATTTTTTACAGTGCGTTATCTTACATACTAAAGTCGATTTTACTATAATTAATAAAGGAATTAAATGATTAGCTCTACATAATGACTCTGTCCGAAAGTTTGTCTAGTTTTTTCATGTTCTGGGCGGCCCATCGATTCGGGTATTATTCTACCGTCAATTGCTGATATTGGTGCTGCAATTGGTGGCAATTGTAAACATTCGTGCGGTAGCTGAAATGATGAAATTTACGCTAATAAAATATTAATTATTATTATAAATTGTAGTAGTTATTCAAAAGCTCAGATACAGGGAATTGTTCTGGGTACATTTTAAAACCTAGAACACCAACTATAAAACACATAAATAAGTTTTTGTCATTGCACAGCTGGATATGGTGTCTTTATTCTTACCATAGGTTGTTGAGGTTGTTGTGGCAAACCGGCAGAAGTCGGCATTGGCGGTGCGTAATAACTAGTAGGTGACACTGGTGGACTAGGATAAGGCCAATAAAATATTGGCGGCGGAAAAAATTGCCTCGGACCAAGACCCGGTGCAGCAATTTGTAGTGGCGCATATCCGGGAAAATTTGTTCCGGGATGAAATGCTGTTGGTATTATATTGCCACCTGAGAAATTAAAATAAAATGATTGATGAAAAACGATTACAAAACTGAAAAAGAAGGTCCTATATTTTCTTGATACATAATAAACAAGTCCAGTTAGTGCAAACTACAGAGATTTTACTTAAAAACAACTTCAGAGCATAGACATGATTATATTAACATGCCATGAGTGTAACTTGTTGATGTGCACATGGATCAGCAATTATCAGTATTTGGTACAGCAAACCAAAACATGGTACCATAACCCACATAAAAGAAAGCTATAATGTATGATTGAAACTACTCTATGAGCCTATGACAAAGAAGTGTTATTTTTGTAAGGTTGGTAATAAGTATAAATAGACTCACCACAGTGTAGCAGAAATTACCATTCCACCTTGTGGAGCCCACGAACACCACGAACGATGCCATGTCCCGGATAACCAACAAATCTAGCCCACAACTCCCGATTTGCTCATCTTGTAATACCAAAAATTAATATTTAATTAACACGCATGTGTCTCCAAGATGAGCAAAACAGGTCAGCAAAAGGAGATCTAACATTAAACCCAAAAAGCATTATTGTGACAAAACATTTATTAAAGTGTAAATTAATTAGAAACATATTGTATGAAGTAAGAGCTGCATACAGTAACAGAAATAAACAAGGTGATTCTAAAGTGAAGATCACTTTATACTTTCGCTAGATTTTGACTAGCTCAGGATATTTCAAATGATCGTACGAATGAATTCATATTTACAGTCGACAATGTTAGTTATATAGAATTAATTTAGTTTTTCCATTAAATAAAAAAAAACTACTAAAAAACAAGTACAAAAATCATGGAAAAACTAAATTAGTACCCAGCCATGTGTTCTAATCGTCCACAATAATAAGAGAGTTTAGATGCCAAGAAGCTTGTTAGAAACACCAAAACTTTAATCAAAATCTAGCGGAAGCCCAAGAGAATGCAGAAGGCTTATACTAACCTACTACCAATAATTTGCAAACCTCTTGTGAGATTTATGCGCTAACTAAAAAAAACAAAATGTACCCCATTATATAAAATTCAAAAAACGATAACTAAACCATAATTAATATACACATATATTCAAGCTGCCATATGGAGTCAATAACCTTCTCCATAATGTAAATAATTACTGTCAAAAATTCATTCAAAGACAATGCCGAAATTAACAAGTTGGATTTCCAATTGTCTTTCAATAAATTTAAACTCCTAAACCACTGTAAACAATATATTAAACCCAATCCATCCGTATATTAGTGGCAGACATTTTGTTACAACAAAAGCCTCATTACAGAGTACAACGTAACGCTAATTTCGTATTGTAACGGGACAAATACAATATAATTATCACTAACATAATTTTCGCGATTTAAAAAAAAATGAATAGTAATGAGTCAGAATCACTGGATTACCAAGTCTATAAATTTCACAGTCAGTGTAAGGCACATTACGTGTAATGGATAAAAGCATTATTTGTAGATATCTCAAAATAAGGCACAAGTTTGTCATGTTTAAATCGAAGAGATTTTCTTAAAACTAACTGGAATGATAAATAAGTCTTTTTGAGTGGAAAAATGGAATGTTACTTACGTAGGTAGCCTAGATTATACTTTATTTTGGAATGCAAAATTATACATTATGATAAAAAGTCTGATAAGGTAGGGGAACGGCGGCTCCTTGCTGATAGGCGCGTTTTGCAGAAGTCGCTTGTTCATTAAACGCATCGCCGTAACTACGCTTCACTGCGACGTGGGGGACAAAGGGAAGAACACCTTGCGCGCCACTGGGTAATAATTGTGACGGATATGCAACCGGCGCCCTCGGCATTCCCAATGGGGCCATCCGAGGGGGTAATAAAACAAGGGGCTGTTGATGGGGTAAAATATGCGGCATTATTTGCATGGCGGGTGGCGCTTTTAATAATGCACCGTTGGCTGCAGCGGCACCGATTGAAGGAACACCGTGGTTTAAGACCGCCAGATTATGATGTGCAATTTGATTCATTAAAAGTATGTGTTCATTTTGTGCCTGAACTTGTGCTTGTGCTTGACTTTGACGGACAAGCAAATTTTGTTGCGCGATCATTTGCGCTTGTTGCTGCGCTAATAAGGGTGAATTTTCCCACCCTGGCGTAACCACACTTTGAGATATCTGAGCAGCTGTTGATGGGGGAGGAGGTGGCGGAATGTTTGTGGGTGGCAACGGTGCTAAAGGAGGTAACATACCGGGGCTGAGCAAAGCCGGGGCGGCTTTTGCAGGTGACACTGGTGACGGTATTCCTCCAGTTAAAACGAGATTCATATCTTCTCCTGAACACTGGAAAACTTCTATGTAACGTTGTTTTTTGCCGAATATCATATAACGGTGATGTTTTTGTTGAGCCGCATTAAAGGCCGATTGCTCCGAATCCATTTGAATAAAAGCTTCGCCACTAGGTTGTCCCTAAAATAGTGATCAGGTAAGTTCTTTCATATATAACAAACACCTATTAGAGAGGAACACGCCCTACCTGAGCATTATATACCATATGAACGCCTTGCAAAATAATATTTTTGGCATGGTCACCCAAGAAGTCCAATATATGTTCTACTTGTGCTTCATAAGGAAGCCCTCTAAGTCGAATGCAGTCTTTACGAGTACCAGAGGTAATGATGTGTTGAGGCAATAAAGGCACTTGTGGTATTTGAGCAATCAAAGGAGCAGGTTGTTCATAGGTCTTGGGGTCTAAGGAACGATTTAGAACCTGTTGTACTTCGGCAGTCGTCGATCGAAAAAGTTCGATGTATCTCGATCCAATGCACTCTCTGTGCTTCGAAAGCGCCTTTGGCGCATCGGACTCTTGAGCAAATAAAACAAACGCATCGCCGGTTGCCCTACCGTCGGGTTTTTTCACAAACAACACCCCATCTGGCCCATCTAAGACTGTACACGGTTGTTCCCCAGAAGCGAAAAAGTCGAGCTAAAAATGGATTAAATGATTTTACTACAATTAAGTATCCCCTCAACTTACAACTTGCTTAGCCGTGCAGTCGTATGGTAAACCGCGCATACGGACTATAACCGAGGCACCTCTAGATAAAAATGCTTGTGCTTCTCCGTTAGAACCCCCTGCGACAGACAAAAAGTCATCTCCAGATGCTCTATACACTTCGATATAACGAGGTCCAATGTGATGTTTATGTCTCTTTAGTGCCATATCTCTGTGTTCTTGATTAATGAATCGAATTAAAGCTTCACCGTTCCGTCTTCCTTGAGGGGACAAGCACAGTGCTACACCGCCCCTAAAGAGAATGTAGTTTTTAATTTGAGCACCCAACACCAACTAATGTTCATTATGCTACCAAACATAAACTTTTGAAACGATGTGAATATGTACGAGTATTAAATATTAAGACGCATGAAAACAGTCTTAAAAGAATGTTTTTTAAGGTATCATTAGGTACAATATTTGAACATTAAATAACCAAACCAACATCAATATTATATTAACATTTAAATGCTACAATTCAAAACTACAGTAAATCATAGAAGCAATAAAGGCATCGTCTTTCTTATCAGTCATGATTATTACACGTTGGCGGTTTTAAATTTGTTGTGTTTAATAGTTTCAGATAAAGAAACCCACAATCCATACACACATATCTCACGTTAGCTACGTGTTACGATAAATCTACCTAGTTTACAGGTAATTGCAAAAATGTTGTGATAAACCCTTAAGAAGCATTCATTACCGCAAAACATGACGCCATTAGAGGACGTACCTACCTGCACCTATTATCAAGGCTATTACTAAATTACCTACCTACATCTGGGTACCTACTATAAATGCGATTGCATATGCACGAAACCGCTAAATTGGTTTTACTGTGCATAGAAACAATCACGTAACGAATATTTAAAGTAAACTTTTTAATTTCAGGTTAATGTACTGTAGGGACTACCTAGTATTTTTTCACAAAACGTGTTGTAACTAATTTACCGAATTAAGTGCTCATTTGCTTTGTTACAATATTCGTAAACAAAACGTAAGGGGAATAAATAGTTACATATCATATACACTGTTTTGGCATTCTGGGATTGCGCCAATAATTTAAATTTTTAGAAATGGAGAATTGCAGAATATAGATGCTTATATCGTTAGTATGGAAATAGGGTAACTCTTTTTACCACCTCCACGTTAGTAAGGGAGGCAGGTATTGCAATGGGGTAAAAAATGATTCCCTACTTTTTAACGGAAATACACGTTCTGAAGCACCAGGAACTGGAATCAATCTGTCTGTACTCCCATTTCCGGTTAAACGGTCAAACCGATTAGAACCAAATTTGGTACATACCAGGTGTGCACGCGAAAACTAAATTGACTTCTATTCGGCGTTTTAAAAGATATCGACTTGAAATTTTGAAATCTCATCAAGAAAGTGGGGGGGGAAAATTAATAGCATGAGATACCACCACAACGTAATATTCGCCGTCCCCAGTCACCCCCGGTCCAAAAATTCAAATGACACCCTGCATTTTTTTCACGTATTCTGAAAAAGTTCAGTTGTAGAAAAAATATTGTATATAACGCTAGCGCGCTTCGCGCATTTGACTGATATTTTAACTCGGCTTCGCCTCGTCAAAATACCTTCAGTCTCCATGCGCGAAATTGAACTTCGCGCTCTTGTTATATAAATAACTATTATGGATGCACCCAAAATCTTCTATGGCGACACTTCTTGCGCCTTTGTCGACGGTGATCATGAATTTCTTCCGTTCTTCTTCCATGGTATAGTTGACAACTGTTCAACTAGATCTAAAAACAAATTCATCGGAAACGTGTAAATGGTTATCGGTTTTGCGTCCGGGGATCTCACCGATCCGTTAAAAAAACGGATCGTGTGAAAGGGCTCTTTAAGCATAATCATAACTAATAGAAATACAGTAACCTCTTATTATTTATCCATTGCCGATATTTCAAATCTATCGCAAGATATAACTGTTTATTTGTTTCTAGGAACTCAGATATCATTTGGATTAGTAAAAAGATATCATTCATTATATATAGTTTATATTAGCAAATGCATGAGAAATGGCGGAAAACGAATATGTATGATTTTTAGCATTTATCGCATGTGCTAAGTTAAAGTTGCTATAAACTTGTTATGTTACAAACACCTTCGATAAGATAGCTACCTAGGTAAGTAATTTAATATTCAATACACGGCGATCTGTTCTATATGACAAAAACCAAGCTCAACAATAATCGATGCCAATTTATTGATTAAAATATTGCCCCTTCAATTTTAAATACTTAAAAAAATACTTAAATTGAACAGTAACTGACTGTCATTACAAACTGGTACTTGAAAAAATGTAACCAATTTTTGAGATATGAGACTGGAGGCCACTGTGGTAACTTGGAATTTAAAGGGCAGCAAAATGGATTGATCACTTGTGAAAAGAAATATGACACTGCAAATAAAAATTAGCATAATCTACACTCTATATGTACGAGTAAACAGTATACCCAGCAAACATTTAACATTGCGATTATACAGTGTGTCAATTTGAAAACGTAAGTACCACCCTGAATATGTGAGCCGCAACAAAATATATATCTACAAAAAATCAGAAATCACGTCTAGTTTATATTCAACGGGGATATTTTATTGGTCGGTTAGAGATTAAATTGCATCAACCCTTAGCAGGGATAGAGGCAACCCCTAAAATTTAAATGTGGAAACGGGGTCTAGTGACCCCCCCCCCCATTTTATTTTAAAAACCATTTTTCAAAAGTATTATACTTTCTGTTTATATGAAAAACTTAAGATGAAATTACTATACCATGAATAATGGCAAACCATTTAGTGAAATGCCTAAAAAGCTTAAAATGTAGGCGAACAAAATGCAAGCGAGCCTTTCTTCAAAAGCAATAATGAGTGATGTTAAGATCACTGTTCATTTATTACTTCCTTCAAAAGATACAAAATGAAATGGATGATCAAGAAGTCCATTAAGTTAGTTCCCTCACTACAACAATTTTTTTTCTAAACCATTTCAAACCTTGCTCGAGTATTCTCGCCTTTAGGTAGCGCTCACGAAGCGCTTCGTCTGGTGAACGCAACGCATCCATTTTGTTAAAAGAAAAAATTGCACGTGGTAAAGCGACACGGAATGCAATTAATAATTCAACGCACTCATAAGGGAAAATCCTTTAGGACAATCGGTCGGGGATTCAATTTGCAAAGTCCACGGTGGCAGCTATACTTACTGTAACAAAGTATGAAAACAGCGTCAATCAAAGTTACAGGAAAAGGCACAGGAAGACCGCCAAAAGTTGATATCAGTGTGGGCGGTAACAGAAAAAGAATTATTAGAACAAAAACGTTCTGTAAAATTCCCCAAAGGTGTAATGGTGTGGGGCAGTATGTCTGCAAATGGGTTGGCAGGTTGGCACAATTGCACTTTATAATTTTAGAACACAGTTTTTTGCCTTCACTTCCATCATTATCGCCTGATGGACTGATGCAAACATTGTTTTTCAACAAGACGCAATTGCATCTCGTCACACAGCAAAAACGACTAAGAAATGGTTCCAATACCACAATATTAGTGTCTTAGATTGGCCTTCCGGCAATCCAGATCTCAATGTCAGTGTGGCATGAAATGAAGCAACGTTTGCGTAATGACCCACAACGCAATATTGCTTCTTTGAGAACAATTTGGACATTCATGTCACCAATGTCAGCAAAAAGAAGAATTTCCCAATAGTAAACTACGTTTTAAAAATTAGGCGCTGTCTCGGTGTCTTTTGGTAGATGCCAAACGGTAAGTATACTTTCGTCGGAGAGAAACCTTTGATTAAAGAGATTCGTGTGTTACTAATTGATTTTGATTTACTTTTCCACTCGATCGGACGATTTGCTTTGTTGTTATGAAATGTATTTTTGAAATATTTTTTTTGTAACTATAGCACCAAATTGGCACTTAATTATAGATAACAATTTTGGTGCCAATTCATTATTTTCCTACGATACTTTTTTACTATTGAGGGGTATAGCTTAATGTTAAATTAGCCCCACCAAAATAAAGTTTTTTGTGGTCAGTGGCCAAAGCACTAAATTTTTATTATTGGCGCCCAATACTGCAATGGTTTAGGAAAATATTGGATGTAGTGGTGGGAGGGGGAAGGGGAGGGGTGGACATATACATAATTTAAAAAGTATCAATGTGAAAACAAAACATTTCTGACAGTTCAGCATCTTCGCAGGAATCTTGGTTTCTACATCTACTACCTGTTACATCGCTTCAAGGGGAAAAAGGCCATCAATATTCAAAATGAATGCGGGTTATTGGTCGATGACGATTAAAAAAATAAATATAACTCGATTTAAAATAGACACATATTGTTTATGTTAAGCTAATAAGGGGACAATAAAACGCACGTGTATGTTTTGATTTGGACCAGCATTTCTCGACATAAGTAAAAGAAATTCGAGCAATCCGTCACTATTTTAATAATAAAGGTACCTCTACCTGCCTTCAAGAAAAGATATTTTAAAATTTGTACTTACTTGGCAACATTCAGTCCACGAAAAAATTTTGCTATATCTTGGTCACTACTTTGCCAGGGTAAACCTCTTGCTCTCACCACACAATTACCATCTATCTCATCGTCCTTCGAGCTGCAACAAATCGAAGCAATAATCTTCAAACTATTTCGAGATAATGTTGATTAGTGTTATACAATTCTATAATACGTGATAATGATATAAGCATATGGAGCATTTTAATCTTTTACTTCATTTGTCAATAACCAGATTAATAATACTAAAAATGGTATTTCATTATCGGGTAAGAAAGGTTTTTAATAAAAAAAATTAAGTAAATATGTAAGGATATAACAATTTTTGGAAGACGTCATTTTCTTTTATTATGGTCATTAACTCATTGCCACGTCATTAGTGTCACCAAAACAGAATTACAGTATTTAAAAAATACCGTTCTAAAAGCAATTTTCTAATCGATGTTTAAAGGGTTATATGAATATCACATTGAACTGTAAAGATACCGCACTGCCGTGATTCTGATATAAACTGGAGTCATATCGCTCGCTTATCGCATAGTAACATAAAATTTAAAAATTTACGTATTTTCACTATAAATGTGCCCAGAAATGGCTCGTAGCGTAGTATTAGTATCTAATTAAGTAATACGATAAACAATCAACACAAATCGACACAGAAACACCTTTAAGCGCACTACTCACTATTTTGGAACTTACTTTCAATAACAACACGTATTAACTTATCAGAGCATGTGCATAAAGCTGCCTCTTTACACAAAAGAAAATGAAATGAGATATTTTCAAGTTACAATTTAATAGCGCACTTGAAGTGGGGAATGAGAAATATCGAAAGGCTATTGGTTTATAACCAATAATTGATAAAAAAATGATAAAATTCAGACGGGAGTTATGAAATGTTAGAATGAGCTTGGTCTATTCTCACAGTAGCTTCTTTATCTAATACCTGCCGAACTTACTTATATCCGATAAACGTACAGGTAATCCATCAAACGTTTTTCTTATCAAAGATCATGCGCACTGAATTGGGTATATCTTCACAGTGAACTTTCAACTGACAAAAGATAAAAGGGCAGTTAAGAAATTCATGCAAGGAGTCACGAAGGGTTGGATTCATTTGAAAATCAGGATATTTCATTCGTAAAAAGGGAAAACGCTAATGCGTATTACATTTCAATAAAATATACTCATGGCAGATGACTTACTATTACTACCGTAAAGCGCAATCGGTAAATAAGCTAGCCCAGATTGTCAATAGAAAATAATCGGTATCGATAAGAACTACTGATCTGCTTGTTTAGTTGCTTATAAAATTTGATAAAATAACGTGTAATTAACCAAAACTTCGCTTGCTCGAAGATATAGCTCTTATTAGTTCAAAATGACTTACAATAACAAATGTTTGTCGTTATTAATCGGTAATTTTCTTAGAAGATTTTTTTTGCAAGAATTCGTTTATCATGTGATATACGTACAGTTTCGAACAATCAATATTCATCGTAAAAAAGTAGGTACCAAAATGTATTGTTAAGTTACATTTCTGAAGAAATGAAACAAAAAACAATAACAACCCCTTAACCTAAACCATTTAGATAGTAAAAGTTACAATTTCTTTTTTGTTTCGTAACTTCTTCCCGTTTCTTTCACGCTACCCGGCGTCTTCAAACGACTTCAGATCTTTGTCATTCCTGCTTCCTGAGTATCTTCACGCATTTGTCATGATTCATTCTCCTCTCTATCATCTTTCTTCATACACTTCACACTTTCTCAACATTCCTGCAATTTCTTCCCTTCCTTAGTGCTTCCTTTATATATACTGCCAGAGTTGAACTGGGTCAACTGGGTCACTAAATTAAACTGGGTCACTGGGTCGCTGGGTCACGTCATACTCTTTTCAGTTAGACCCAGTGACCCAGTTTGACCCAGTGACCCAACTTGACCCAGTTTGACCCAGTGACCCAGTTTGACCCAGCGACCCAATTTCACCCGGGGACCCAATTCGACCCAGTCACCTAGTTTGATCGAATAACGCAGTTAAGTCAGTGCCCTCGGTTCAAGTGTACAGATTATGAAATAAATGAAATGCTGGTTTGTTGAAAATAATACTCGATTGCTTGACAACTGCCATTTCTGTGATTTTTGTTTTAATACTGCCGTAAAACACTTTCCATGTCCCGAATTGTATTAGAATAATGTTATTTCTTTGCTTCATGGCTTACCAGTTTGCTTACAGGTGTTCATTCACATTTAATTTTTTTCTACTAGTTAGCTTAATCCAAATAAATCTTTTCTCTAAATACTTTCATTGACTACTTGACTACAAACTATAAACAAATGCATTTGATTTTTTTAGGTATTAGTTCTCTTGAATGAAATTGGGCTACGTGCTTGTTGCCGAATATTATTGAGGAAGTTTTTTTTTTAAATTAAAAGTTACTTGAAATTGTTTTGGATGATACCTAACAATAATTTAATTACTGGGCCACCGGGTCAAGACGGGTCACTGAGTAAAGCTGGGTCAAGATGGGTCACTGGGTCAAGCTGGGTCACCGGGTCAAACTGGGTCACCGGGTCAAGCTGGGTCACTGGGTCAAACTGGGTCACCGGGTCAAGCTGGGTCAACTGGGTCACCGGGTCTGTAAACTAACTGGGTCACCGGGTCACTGGGTCACTCTATGCTTGACCCAGTCCAACTCTGTATACTGCTTTTACTTCATGCTACCTTGTTGCTCCTTTCGGGACTTCTTAGACTTATTATTATTATTATTAAATTGCTTTATTGGAATCGTCAGGACATTGTTAAGTACACACACACATGCATACACAATAATACTATCTTAAATTTAATAAAAAAAAATGTAAAATATATTAGAGAAAAGAAAAAAAAAGATTTTATTCTAGTGCATAATAATAATAATAATCTTTATTGTTCCCTTGACATGTATATCATGAACAAATTAAATTAATCTTCACTAGCAAGAAAAAGAAAAAGAAGGAAAACCATCTAACATAACATTCGAATTTAAAAGAAAAGCACGAGATAAAAAAACAAAAAGTATAGCAAAATCAATATCTATTCTTCGGCTGTACTCCATACGAAAGAAAGTAAATGACTGTCATTTTCTTAATTTATTTGTTTTTGTAATTATTGTTATTATGTCACTCATTCAACAGAAATGATCTCAACTTCATAGCCTCCGTTAAAAAAACCACCACGGTAAAAAAATTGTTTCTGTTTAAATTTTGTAATGTTGTAAATATATCACGTTCTGGAAAAATAGTAATGAGCTCTTTTCTGAGAGGTTGGTATAGTGGGCACTCAAAGAAGAGGTGTTGGAGAGTTTCGCATTGATGTGTGTTGCATATAGTACATATATCTGTGATTTTTATTTTATAATTGATTTTATTGACGTACATTACTACCATATCTTTATTGTGAGTTTTAATTTGCATTAAGGTTCTTTTATATTTCAAGGGAATCGGCAATCTTATGATGGAGACTGATGTGTTTGTGAGAGGGTTTTGTTTCAGAGTGTACTTATACGTGTTACAATATACACTCAAAAGTACTTTATCCCAATCATCGTTAGCATTTTTTTTAGTGTATTTATCAAGGGTGTCTAAAATGTAACTGCTATCTACCCCTTCTGGGTTAAAGTAATCTTCGCGAATGCTCTCTATGAGTTTTTTAATTTGTGTGTACCAGTTGCTTTCTGGATTATTAGTGTGACAACTATCACTGTTTGATACAACTTGAGGATAGAATCCCAAGTGTCCATTTTAGCCGTGTTTATTACATTTAAAATAGTGGCTGAGCTAATTTTTGCTTTGCGTATTCTGTCTTTGGCAGTGCATTTGAAACTTCCGTTAAAGTGAAAAGTTAACCCTAAGTAAGAATGAGAGTTTACTACTTCGATAGCGCCATTATTATACAGAAAAGGGTCGTCCGCCGCAATACGGTTACCTTTGCGAAATACAATAATTTTTGTTTTATCCACATTAACAGTTAGGCTGTTAAGGGAGCAGTAACTTTCTAGTGCCCGTAACGCTTTTCTCATGTTTGACGCAGACTTAGCAAATATGACCAAATCATCTGCGTACATTAAAAGTCTTATATCTGTGACGGCATCTAAAGGAGCTCCACTTATTCCATAATTTTTAAAAAACGCTTCCATGTCTGCTGTGAACAACGAAAAGAGTAAGGGGCTTAGAACATCACCCTGTAGCACACCTTTGGTGATATTAATTACCTCTGATAGACGCCCCTCTTGCTCGATCTGCAATGTCGCTTTAGAGTAAAAACCTTTTATTAATCTTATGAGTTTAGCACTTAGGTATTCCCGTTTGTGAAAGTTTTTGCCATAAAAGATCGTGTTGAATTGAATCAAATGCCTTTTTAAAATCAACAAATAGAGCGTACATCCTTTGCTTTTTTAAACGAATATTATTAAAAATAATTGCATTCAGTACAAAAATATTGTCTTGACAGTCCCTTCCTCTTCTAAAACCACACTGACTTTCTGGTAATATTTGAGATTCTTCTACAAAGTTCGATATTCTATTATAAATAATGTAGTTAAATATTTTGGCTATGTGATTCATTATCGCAATCCCTCTGTAATTGTCAGTAACTGATATGTCACCTTTTTTATGCAAGTGTATCATTTTAATTTTTGACCACTGATATGGTATCTGTTCTGAGTCTAAAATCCTGTTGAAAAGACGTAAAATGTATGTATGCCAATTCATGCTCAAATTTTTCAAAAATTCATTTGATATTCCGTCCAAGCCCATCGCTTTACCTGTAGGTGCATGTTGTAATGCTTTATTTAATTCCCAAGAAGTTATCGGTCTGTCTAAAAATGGGTGTAATACATCGTGCATATTAAAATTTAAATCAGAGTGAATGTGTGAATAAAAATGCTTATAAAAATTGACCCACCTCTGTATTTCAATGACTGGGGCACTTGTGATCCTTGTTCTATTTTTTTCGCGTTTAAAAGTCTGCCAGAATGTATTAGAATCCATAATATTTGTAATACGTGACCTATAAAGGAGATTAAAATCGTGTTTCTTTTTTCTACAAATTGCCTTAAATTG